TTAACAACAGCATTGGGAAATTCAGGGCCCCCCCCCCAAAAAAAAACCCAACAATGCAGCTTGCATTCGAATGCTATCATTTGGACCAAATGGTAACGTAATGATTCACCTGCCCTCATCAACAAATCAGCCTCAGCTGTCTCATCCTGCCTGAAAAGCCCTGCATTTCAAAAAAAATCCCCAAAACCCTGAATCCAAATCCCTTCTGATTATTCCTTTGAGTGCCACCATAAAAATAAAGGCTACTCTGAGTATTTAATCATCCATTAGAAACCTGTGAGTATTTCAGAGGGCCATGTTATAAAAGGGGCAGGCTGTACAGCATGCTGTGTGCTGTAAGGCTGTTTAAATTGAACTGCTCACATCTATTTTTGAGCTGGCTGTTAAATGGAAGATTTAGATGGGAGAATTCCTGGCTCTCTTTGTCAAGAATAATTAAACTACGTGTTAGTGAGACTGTCTTAAGCGTTTTGCTTCACAAGTGCTTTTCACAGCAGAGATTTGTTAATATGGCTCCTTGGGATTTAGAAGGCAATATACCTAGGACAAAATTCTCAGCTGAAAAAATACATCTGAAGTCAATCCCATCTCAGAATCGGGACCCTCAGTGTTAGATCTTAGCTGCAAGTTCATCAGCTTGAAGGCTGTAAGTGCCTCGCCCTTGCTGTCCTGCTCCGTGGGAAGGGATCTTTGCAAGATGCAAGGGAGAACCTAGGAAGGGCCGACTTGGAGAAGGAGGGTTCTGGTTATGGAAAAGGCTGAAAAAGGGCTGCCTGAGATCATTTAGTTCCTTCCCCGCCATGCCTGACATTGCATAATTGTTCCCTACAATGTGCATTTTCCAGCTGAAATTAAAATATTCCTATGGGCTTCCAACCCTCTTCATAGACAACGTACTCCACAGAGAGGTTTCGCTGTTAGAAGGGTTATAGCTCCCTATCTTTTATCGAAATTTGTCTCTTTCTTATTGTCATTCTATTATCCCAGTTTCACACTCTTAAGTAAGCCCTGAGCAACTTCTGAAAACGAACTCAAAATAGCTTCCTTTGTCTTCCCTCTCATGGTGACACAGTGTATACAGCACTCTGACCTGCTCAGGGGTCCCTTTGCTCAGTCTTGTGGGCATGGGCAGAGGGTTGGTTCATCCTCAGGAGATCTGGGTGCTCTTCCCTGATTTGTCTCAGAGGGCATTTATACACCTACCTTTTCATCTCACAATGCACCGGAGATCCAGTGGGTCAAAGCAGACTTGATTAATCGACTTGATCATTTGCGCTGCATGGGGGGTGCGCCCCCTGAGATCGGCCATGAATCCCCTGGAAGGGCCAGCTGCGATCAGCTGCCGGGGGGACCCCTCCCCTCCCCTCCCCATCGGTGATCTGGTGCCCCCCAGACTCGGGAGGCACGAGTCGCCCATGGACATGATTAATAGCCATCACTGACTCGCTACTTATACAGCTGCATATGCCACAGCACCACGTACTTTTAAAAAAGCGCCTAGCACTGTGGCACAAACATGTACAAATGCCCAGATTGCTTATGCGTGTGTCAATGGGCAAGTAATTCAGCTTCTTTCGGCCTCATTTCCCTTATTCTGTACCGAAAAAAACTATGCTGAGAATCGAGGCCTTGTCCAGTGTCTTATCTTGCAAGCCGTTCTTCTTCTCTAGGTCATCAGCAACACTTCAACATGATCAGCCTGTAGTAGAAGGGTTCAGTCTGCTGTCCCCAGAAGAGACTTCAGCAATGAAAGAAGTCACTCCTACACAAGGCTGGAGTAACTCTTTACAAAGCCGGGGAGAGAATCAGCTAGGAGAGATGAATATAAAACTTTTTTCTAAGCCTGGACATAAGTACCAGACTTTGTTTAGTCCTGCAGCATTCCTTTTCCTTCTCTGTTTGAGGTTCGGTGCCATAAATCTAGCTGTTTGGGGGGTTTTGGCTATTTATGCTCTCCCAGACTTTTGGCTCCATGGTCAGCCAACTTTTTCCATACAGATTTACTCCTACAGTAGTTAACTGGCCCATCTAATGTGTCTGCAGAACATCCCTGTAGGCTTACGCTCTCTTGCACAATTGCCTGGTGATGGCCAGAAAAAAAAGATTACTGAGTTCTCTTCCCAGGTGCTCCACCGCCCCTTGTAGTCTTTCGACTGATCTGTGCATCCTTTTCTTAGCATATGTCATAGTATGACTCCACTTATTTACTCCACCTTAGGATCAAACTGTTAATTCCAGATAAAACAAGTAAAATAGTGCTTCAGTGTAAGTGTCTCAAGAGCCTATTTTCAAATGTGGCTTATGAATATACCACCCTAAATATCTTTGTTGTCCCATGACATCTAGACCCCTGAGGGTCAGATTTTAAAGGTATTTAGATACCTACTGGCATTTGCAGAAGCACTGCCTCACTCCTCTGGCTTCAGTGTTTTGGAAAACCCTATTAGGTACCAATCTGTGTCCTGGGTTCCTGGTTGCCTTTGAAAATCTGGCCCAGAGTCAGTGTTGAAAATGGGACATATTCAAGCTCCTTGAGTTACTCAAGTACCTTTAAAAATGGTACTCCAATTTATATCCAAAGGCCTGAACATGGAAAGGCAATGTTACCCTTGTGCATTCCCAAGAGTCTGGAGAGCTGTAAGACATTCAGCCAGAAATTATTACACAGCTCTGAGATGAAAAGTACTTGATGAGTGAGGTATCTTTTATAGGCAGTAGCATAACAAGCAGTGGGCAACCGGCGCACCAGCCCTGGGTGCCCACTTACAGGAGACACAAAAATGGCAGTCACGGCTGTGACTGGGCCATCCATCAGTCAGCTTGGCCTCTGCCACCACCCCTTCCACTGCTGCTGCCCTTCATGAAGACCCCGATGGCTACACCTTTTTGTACAAGTTTTAAACACCATTATGTATTACAGTAACCCTTGTTTGTAAAGAACTTCCAAGTCCTTGAATGAGGGAATCCATTTAATCACAATCACACCAGTCTTGTGATTGGTGTCAGGAACATGTAAAATCTTCCTCCCGAATCCAAATGAACATACTAGCCCCCGCAAAAGAGGTGTTTAAAAGTCCTGTATGTCCAAAGTTTCCTGTTGCTGGCAGTATTAATTAGGATAATACTCAGGCCAACTTATGTAAGCCTGAATTTCAGTCAGGTGTGATGTTAATACAGGCTGAGTCGTACTGAATTTTTTATGTGCAGTTAGTGACCTGAAGCAAATGTCTTATGTAAGACCAATCCTCTTCTCCTCCATGGATCTCTAGGGCTAGATCCTACCCTTCCTATACTGAGATGCACAAATGGAAAAGACTGGAGCCATTTGGGCTTGCACGGTGTGTGGCTGGCCCATGCTTCTGGGACAGAGCAAAGTGGCCAAGGGGAGCAGAAATCTTCCCTGTAGAACATGGCACTACACCTGCACACGTGGGTATCACACACATCCTAGTCCTTACTAGCCTTACTATATTCTGAGCGGTACTGGGAACTTAAATACCCCAAGCAAGTATGCCATGTGGCAGACCACCCGGTGCATGGACCACTCCTTCACCTGAGGATTTCTCAGCTAGATTCCTGCCCACTTGTACTGAAAGGAGGAACCATCCTTCCTGCTCTTCCGTGTCCTCCCTTCCCACTCCTGAGTGGCACAGGGGGCACAGTTCGTACATAATCAGAAGCCCATGAAATAGGACCATCAGTAAAGGATGGAAGTACAGAGTGGCTGGATGGATTGAATCTGACTCAGATAATCTATACAAACAGACATGGGAGGAACAGAGGGAGGGAAAAGAGCGGTCAGTTTGAAATACGGTCAGGGTCTCCCCTGGATTGAGAGGGGAGAGTGCGATTAGGTTTGTATTGCACAGGTAGGAAGTAGGTAGTCAGCTGATGAGTCTGGAGTCTGGAGAAGCAGAAATAGATGTGTTTCACTTCTTCAGCTGTGTGCAACACCACTTGAGGGCTTGTTTTATTTTTTTTCTTACAAGTCCATGGCCTATGGTAATAGCAGAAACTGGGACTTTACTGTCAGTGCCATGGGCATACACTCTACTCCCACCCTTATTTTTCCAGACAGATAATAAAATAAGATAGAGGTAAAAATCTTGAGACTCCTCATGCAGGTTTATGAGCAGATTTTGAAGGACAACAAGTATCCTCAAATCCAGCTAAACTTGGTGAGAGCAGCGGGTACCACATCCTCGGGACATTCTCTTGCCAGGAAATGAGTGCCCGTATAACCAAGCATCACCTATGCCCACTGACTGCAGAGAGAGCTGAGGGCTCATTGCACCCCACAAAGTCCAAATGAGAAAGCTCCTCAAATAAATCCATAGCTGTGTACAAATGCCTGGAAGTGCATTATTAATTGGGGCAGGCAAAGAACAGAGCCTAAGCAAATCCCCCCTGAGAAAATCCAAATAAAAATGCTCTTTATTAACTTTAACCAAAAAAGGGACAAGTTAATGAATCCCATCCCCAGGACCGCAGGTTCACAAGCCATAGACTGACTTTGCCAGCACTTAACTTTATCACCAGTGATTTATCTGTGCATTGTTTTTACACTTAACTGGTTTTTAATTAAATGTGACTTTTGTTCCGTTGGTTGAAGAGCCTTCCCCTCTGGATTTGACCAGCACAAAAGCTCAAGGAGTGTGATAGAATTAGAAAGCAAACAGGAGGATCAATCACAGCAGACCTCTGCAATGCATGTCCGTCTCTTTTTTTTTTTTTTTTTTTTTTTAA